AAAAAAAAAAAAAAAAAAAAAAAAAAAAAAAAGCAAGCGGCATATTACCAATCATCATACTTTAAGCATGAAAACATAAATTTGACATGGGATAGATTATTTACCAGGTTAATCTTTAGTGTAATGGAAGCATACCTTCTTTATCATAAAGGCATATTTTCTTAAACCCAATATCCCCAAGCCATCGTAATAGCTCGATAACTTTCAACGTCTCGAGGGCTTCTTCACTATCTATAACAACGGCCAGATACTGTACTTCGCTAATATTAAGATTTCTGTACTGCTTAAATATACCACTCGAGATAAGAAAGCTCTCGATTGCATTTATCAAACTTCGAACAAAGTAACATAGGCTCAGGATTAAATGCATGAGGTGCCAGAGCAAGCGAAGCCCAAGATTGATTTTCTGCAAGAGAAACTTGTATAACTTGAAATTCCCAATAAAAGAATATATACAGAAAGTGACTCACAGTATTGTACCATATTAGAACACAGATTTTCTCCAGCCGGGTAAGAAACATCATGAGACGAACAACGTCAATCTCTCGCATGCGCAATCCGGGAAATAACCTAACATAGAATGGGGGTAAAGGCGATAAGTTGGTTGAACTAGATGGAATCATGGCCCCTTTATTAGTTCTTGCCACAGAACAAAAAGAATAAGAACAGGCAAAATATTGAGCAAATTGTATTACGTAAAAAAAAACTACGTAAATAAACTCTGACAAGAGAAGAAGATGCGTGTGAGGTTTTACCCGCCAATTTGTGCTCCCTTGGAGGGGAACTAGCAATGCTATAGATATATAATATTGTACATAGGCATGTACATAACACTCACATTAAGTGCAACCGACCAAAAATAAAAAAAATTAAGTGAATATCACTCCATATTAGTGTTATGTACCATAGTTTTTAAACCCGACCCGAGAATCGATCCGGTAAGGTCTTCGGGTTACTGGGTCACCAATTTAACGCCGAGTCACCGGGTCAATTGTTGAACCGGATAATTAATTTTTAATTTTTTTTAAATTTATATATAAAGAGTATTTTCAGTTGGGAGTATACTGGGTATGTTGTTTTGTTGTTGTATATATAAAGAGTATTTAGTCATATAAATATACATAAAAGTAACAAAATTAAATGTTTTGTATATAAAATTTGTGCATTAAAATTTTAATAATATGTATTTCATGATAAATATTTAGCATATAAATATATATACATAGTTTTATTTTTAAAAAACAAAAAATATTTTTTTTTAAAAAAAAGAGTGTTAGGCTACCAAAACTGAGATAGCCAGCCATTGGAAGTGGCAACAAAGAGTACAAAATTAGTCTAAGAAATTGGGATTTATTCCTAACTCTAAGAGGAGGTTGGCAATGCTACATAAGGCACTTTGATGAAGTGAAAAAAGTGTGTGAAAGGCCTTGCCTGTGTTGATTTTGTATAAGTAGCGGCGACGGAGCCTTAAATTGTTTGTGAAGCGACCAGTTAATAATATTTGGACATGGTATCAACAAGGTAATTAAATATGATTATATATATTTGTGGGGGTACTTTTGTCAATCTTGTCGCCTGATGATTTGATAGTTTACCCATCTTTCATGTCTTGTATTGAAAATACTTCTACTTCTTATTAGGCTGCTGGGCAAAGTGGGGCCTGTGACGGGCGGGGCCAACGGTATCAGGGAGCATCGTGCGCTCGTTCTTGAAGCACGGCGCCAAAGTCTGCGTGGCCGACGGGCGGGACCCTGACGACCTAAGCCTTGTTGGTAACAACAACGTCTCATTCGTCCGCTGTGATGTGACCGCGGAAGACGACGTGCGGCGAGCGGTCGACCACGCAGTCGAGAGGTTCGGCGGCCTGGACGTGATGGTGAACAACGCGGGGGTGCTGGGCCCCACGACGTGCAGGGACATCCGGGAGTTCGACGTGGCGGAGTTGGACCGAGTGTTTGGGGGTGAACGTGAGGGGCGTGTTCCTGGGGATGACGCACACGGCGCGCATCATGATCCCGAGGGGAAATGGGTCGATAGTGTCCTTGTGCAGCGCGGCGGGGGTAGTGGGAGGGATGGCAGATCACGCGTACACGGGGTCCAAGCACGCGGTGGTGCGGGTCAACTGTGTGTCCCCAGTCCCCATATGGGGTGCTCACGGTGATGTCGCTGGCTCAGGTACGCGGTATGGAGGAGGATGAGATGGTTGAGCGGATGAGGTGGCTAAATGAGAGTGTGGCCAACCTTAAGGGAGTGGAGCTGACGGTGGACGATGTTGCATGTGCGGTGGTGTTTTTAGCCAACGACGGGGCGCGGTACGTGAGTGGGGCCAACCTCATGGTCGACGGAGGGTTCACCTCGACCCACACTTTTGAACAACTTCTTCGGTGAAAACTACTTTGATTATCATAACGGACGGCGCATTACCGGTAGTCATGTGACCCCTTGAATCTTGATGGAATAAGTGTTCACGTTTTCCTTTAATATCTACTTCAATTTACTTTCTTAATAAGAATGAAAATATAAATACAATATATATTTCTGTAATTCATTAATGAGTTTGAATTATTCATTAAGTCAATAATTTGAATTATTCATTAAGGCAATAATCTCATTAAAAAAAAAAAAATTGTGTTGCTTATATGTTGTACTGTAGATTATAAAAGAAACAAAATCAATAGCTCTATTAAATGAAAAATAATGCAAATCTCCCAACCAGGGTTCCTTATTAACAACAGCTGTAGCCATAACCAAGCTTCACATTTCTCACCCAGAATGATAAATTGTGTTTACAGTCAAGTTGAACTATATACTAATAGTTCAAAATCATCTGAATTGGGAAAAGGCACACCATGCACCCAAACACCTTCAAATTGAATATAAATTTAATAACCCTGTAAGTATCACTTGAAAATGACCTTGTCAAGCATAGGGGTGTCACCGAGAAGTGACTGAAGCTGCCTATGGCAATTCTCGAGAACATTTTTATCCGAATGTTGATGATTTAAAACTACCTCTGTGTGACTATGATTGTCACTTTCTTTCTGGTTTTCTGATTTCCTTTTCTGGTCTTCGTAAAAGAGTTTCAAAGCATTAGTTGTCGAGAGTGACTGCACGGTTTCATGCAATTTCCGAAACTCGTTCATCGTTTCCTCTGTTTCGACTAATTTTTCCTTCAACCCATCAGGTAAACACATCATAGCGCTTGTGAAGTTGCAAAAAGAAAGAGAAAACACCACCGTAAGAAAAAAGAAGTAGACAGGAGAAAGACTTTTGGGTTCAAGATCAACAAAATATGAATTTAATTTGCTTCATTTAATCTACCTGGTAATTCCCCTAACAAGACCCCAGTTGTATCCAGTTAAAATCGACTCCTTGAAGCCATTATTGAACCCCTCTTGTGCAGCAACCTCCTTTCCAGCAATGAGGCCATCACGATAGCCTATCTAGCTCAACGGAAAATCATAATGAACTTATTATGAGAAAAATGAGGATATAATGCACCAACGGCACTCAAATGAAATTCTGTTAAATTCCCTCAAACCGGACACACTTAATTAATAGGTTACCGTGTGGAATTGATTATGCCTCCTCTCCCATTCTCTCTCCATGTCGCATGCTTTATCCAATCTCTCGACAGAATTTTCATAAGAGGATTCATCCTCGTACCACAAATCGCCCTCATCACTTTCTGAGAAGGAGTTGAAACAAAAGTAAGAAGATTGCACGCTGCGCAAAACAAACTAGACATAAAGTAAGAAGCTGAAAGATATAATGAAACTGAATTGAACACACCATTTTGGCTGTTGGTTGCTTGGGCAGCAGTTGGTCTTCTATCTGACCCAACACTTGATGACTGCAAGATTTCTGAATATAGATCATGAGCAATGCTTCCCTGAAGCTGCAAAAAAAAAGGACGAACAAAAGAAAATGGAACAAAAGAACAAAAAAGAATAAGAAGAAAGAAAAAAAAAAATTTGTGAACCACTTTAAAAGTCTTTTTAGACTACATCAGTGAAAATTTTTGACATTCCATGGTGGAAACAAATGTAAAGATGAAACAAATAGACAAAATGTGACAATCCTGCAAATCGGACAGAGTAAACTAGTGCTGATCAGATGCAAGATTGCCCTAGTGGAAAATAAATGCCAAAGAATTTATATATATTCTTAAATTTAACAAAGAGAATGAAATGCTAACTCCGTGTATCCCAATCCTTCAACTAAACCATTAGCATCAATTGCATACCAAAAGGGACTCAAATCTTCTTATTATATCAAAAGGCATCGTTCACTATGTGCAGAGTTCTTGAAATCCCTACATATGTGTATAAGCAATGTTGGAAAATAAGCTCCAAAAACTCGTAAAGTAAAGCCCCAAAAAAAAAAAAAAATCCAAAGATGAGGATACCATAAAACACTCACGAATATTCATTAATGGGTACCAGTAAGCATCAAAAGGAACCATTAAAAGGCTTTGTCTTGTCAATTAGTACTGAATCTACTGATTACGTGTAAATTGGCATATAATTTACCATTTCAACTCAAAACCAGCGACTGAATATGAGCGTTGATAGACTGCACAATCCATCCCAGAACAACAAACAGAAGTCCACCGTAGTATTTCCCATTAACACATCTCTCCAGGTTCAAGCAACAGATACAGGAAAAAGGAACACAAGACCGATAAAACAGAAATAATCGACTATATAAATTATAACCTCCGCAAGAAAAACATTACCTGGGTCCGATTTATATCCATGACAAGCTGAGAATCGGTTCCGAGAGATCTTCAATAAGACTCAATACTCGGGTCTAAAGAATAAAATGAGCGCTAAGTGCCGGCGACTGAGATGATGAGATAAAGAGAGATCCTATTATCCAAACTCGGCGCTGTAATAAAACAATGAAAAGTAGCCATCGTTTAGGAAACAATGAATACTAGTCATCAAAGCATGTAAAATCATCATTGTAACCTAAAATTTCAACACTTCCCAAATCTCACCCTCACTCAAATCCTCATTTTATTTTTTCACACCAGAAATGTTAAATATTTTCACCCAGCTTTGCTGTTTGCAATATCGAAAAAGAACAAATATTTTTACTAGCCTGCTGATACTCTCTAAATTAGCCAGAAATTATGCTTTTCTTTACAAACTTCAATTCAACCATAATCAAAACTTAATTCAGTACCTCCCCATGGATTTCGACCAAAAAACTCATGATTATTATGAAAAACAAAAAGAAGATAAAAAACCCTAATCAAACCCTATAAAATTTTCATCTTGAGGAACCGCGCTTTGAGGTCAACCTGCTCGAGTAGGGAAGCCGACGTCGAGCAGTATTGACGGCGGCAGAGGTTGATTCGCCGGAGAAGTGGAGCAGCAGAGGTCGCCTTGCCGGAGGAGAGGAACAGCGGCGCGTCAATTGCAGGCTAATTCTCTGAAGCGTGGCGGAGGTCGCTCTGAGTAGACGAGCGAACAGATGAGAGCCGCTCCTTCTTCTCTCTCTGATTTTACTGAAGCATGGCGGAGGTCGAGTTCCTCATCCCACTATGGTTTGCTGAAAGAAGGCGGAGACTGAAAAAAATGAAATCTGCCATGCTTTGCTAATTCGGGTAAAAAAATTGAGTATGAAGGGTAAAAATGGTATTTTAAAAAGGTGAAATGGCTATATTTCATTCTGTTGTATGGAGTGGCCAAGTTCCATTTTTTTCCTTTTTAGAAAGGCTAGATTGTGGTATTACCACATTTGATTTTCTTTGGCATTTATGTATAAAAGAATTTGGCGTATAAATCACTTTTTACCAGTGAATTAGTACGATATCCGTGTATTACACGGGTGCATGAAGAAATAATTTGAACAAAAAAGTAAAAGAGTTTAGTTATTGTAAACATATATATAAAAAAAAATGTAGTTGTAAAACAACTGCGTAAATTGGTCTTTTATTTCAAATTCTTAAAATATTTCTCTGCAAACAATATTATTAGTTCTCTTTTACAATTTTTTCATCCTTATTTCATCAGTGAACTAGTACGATATCCGTGTATTATACGGGTGCATGAAAAAATAATTTGAACAAAAAAGTAAAAGAGTTCAGTTATTGTTGAAGTGTGTTGTCGATAAAAGAGTTCAGTTATTGTCGATAGCCAGTTCAGTTATACATATATATAGGGGGCGGATCAAATGAGGACAACTCTTAAAATGCGGACGCTTTTAGCAACTACAGACAACTAACCTAGCAACTACAGAGAACTAACTTGCTACTACAAACTTATCAACTACAGAGAACTAATCTAGCAATTTCTAACTTAGCAACTACAGAGAACTAACCTAACAACTACAGAGAACTAACCTTGCAACTACTAGCAACTACTAACCTAGCAACTACAGAGAACTAAAAAGTATATTAAAATATTGTTCGCGAATAGGCTCATGCTTATTCGAGTTCGACTCGGTTAATAGATGGAAGAGCTTTTATCAAACATAAACGAAATCTTTGTTAACTCAGCCACCAATTTTGACAAAAGAGGCAGCCCCAAATTCTTTATGCAACGGCAAAAGAAGAAAAAAGCCTTAGCAGCCTACAATTGGTGAATTTGGTGAATTTGGAATGCAATGTTCACCTTGCACTCTCCCTCTATGAATTTGGAGTGCAGTGTGCATCGCACTACCTCTAGAGGAAGGAAATTATGATGGAACAATACACACCAAAAGTTTACGAAAAAGAAAGAGTGAACAAGAAAAGAGTTTAGATTTTTTGGTGTATCGTGAGTGGGTTTGTTAGTGTTTTGTAAACACGAGTGTATTTCTTTTCTCCTAATAAAATATCTCCAGTAGTTCGGAGACGTAGGCATTATTGGCCGAACTCCATTATCAATCTAGTGTGTCCAGTTTTTTTATTTCACCGACGTCATGAAAAATTCAACGTATTATTCCCAACAACTAGTATCAGAGCCTAATTGTTAATTCTGCAATTTTTGTGTGGTGTTACTATTCCATGAATAATGAAAAACGTGAATAGTGTCAATTTTGTCGGCGCTACAAATTTATCGACCGACGTGTTGTGAAACACAGTAGTTCACAAATATTATCAAAAACGATCCGGCAAACAAGTCATATCAGAGGTGAAGTGAGGCTGCAGAAGAAGGAAAAATAAAAATTAAAAAGTTCGATGGTGCGGACTTTGGCTTTTGAAAGATGCACATCGAGGATTATCTTTACCAGAAGAATATGTATCAACCACTCACAGGAAAGAAGCCAAAGGACATGAAGGATGAAGAATGGAATCTCCTTGACAGACAAGCCTTTGAAGCCATTCGACTGACGTTGCCCCGTAATGTTGCTTTTAACATTGCAAAAGAAAAGACGACATCAAGCCTCTTTCTATCCAACATGTACGAAAACCATCAACCTCAAATAAAGTTCATTTGATGAGGCGATTGTTCAACCCGCGGATGACCGAAGGTGCTCCGGTGGCACATCATCTCAATGAGCTCAACACTGTTACAACCCAGTTGAGTTCAGTTGGGATCGAGTTCGATGAAGTACGGGCTTTAATACTTTTGTCTTCCATACCAGAAAGTTGGAATGCTACGGTTGTGAAAAGCTCATCGGGAAGTAATAAGTTGAGATTTGATAATGTTCAAAATTTGGTTCACAGTGAAGAGATCCGGCAGAGAGTCGGGTGAACCATCGACCTCTTCTTTATTGCATACAGAGTAAAGAGGAAAAAGTTCAACCAAAGAAAGCAGACACTACAAATCAAATGGAAGAAAATTCAAGTCCAGAAATCATCGTAGTTCCTAAAACTCAAAGTCGATCAAGTGCTGGAATTGTAGGAAGACTGGGCACTACAAAAGTGCACTGAATAATCAGGAGACAAAAGAAGAGGCAACTATTGCTTCGGCCTCTAGAAGAGATTTGTTGATATGTTCTTTAAAGAACAAAGAGGAGTCTTGGGTTTACTTAGTGAAAAATATTGATGATCAATCGTGACTTTTGTCGATGATCAGTCGAGAAAAATATAGGTTTACTTTCTGAAACACAAGTCAGAATTATTTGAAGCTTTCAAGATATGGAAAGCTATAGTGGAAAATGAGACAGTATTGAAGATTAAGAAGCTCAGATCCGACAATGGTGTTGAATATGCAACCACCAGATTCAAGAAGTTTTGCTATGAGCACGAGATCAGAATGGAGAGAACCGTGCCTTGTACGCCTCAACTGTCTGTCTGTCTCGTGTCTACTTAGCCCCTCGGGGAGCTACCTTAGGGTACTAGCTAGCATACGACATATCTAATCTGGGAACAACTAAAAAAATAGTTGTTCATACCGTACGTGATCAATCGACAAGGTATATAACAGAAAAATGAAAATTGTTTGTCTGTCTGTCTGGTGTCTACTTAGCCCCTCGGGGTACTGCATTACCCCTCAGAGTACTAGCTAGCATGCGACATATCTGATGTTGTAACAACTACAAAAATAGTTGTTCATACCGCACGTGATCAAACGTCACGGTATATAACTGAAAGCTGGAAACACATAATTCATGCAAATAACGACAAACAAAAATATCATTGTGTTTAATCAAAATGATGTACTAGATAGACTTTCCCACCTAGACACTCTGGCTCTGCTAAGAATGAGTTGTCGCTTATGTGGAAACTCGAAGGCTCGACTCCTCGGAATCTACATAAAATTAAAGGGTACTCAGATAAATAACCAACTCTGTCTCAGTAAACTAAGTTTACCTTGAAGAATTTCCTAGCTTAAGGTTCATGACTTATAAAATTCTGTTATGACTTAGATGTTGGAACTCTCGACTCGGACTCTCGAAATTCTCGGAATTATTTTTCAAAAATATGTAGTTAGCCGCATCTCGAAAAATCATTTATAGGAACGAGATAAATTTATGAAAATGCTAAACATATCTCGGGATGCTCAGAATTGTTCATAATAAAATAAAACTGTGTTCGGGCTTTCTGTAACCCGGTTTTGACTCGGCCGGTGTTGTCCGGTAGCTAGTCGGTGGCTCGAGTCAAACGGCGGTTGGCACCAGACGTGCGGCCGTTGTGTTCTGGTGCTGCGGCTGGCCTCAGCCTCGCACTCGGTTGAGCCACTGGGTAGGTCACGTGCCTATTGGCACGAACACTGCCTGATGGGTAGCTCACGTGCCTATTGGCACAACCAATGGCTGTTGGGTAGCTCACGTGCCTATTGGCACGGCCACTAGTTGTCGGGACTGGTATTGGCCGCAGGGGTGCATCGTGTAGACTATGTAAGCTCTGTAGATCACCGAGGCGTCCCCCGACAACTTTCTCGACCCAAACGACACGTCTTTCGACCAATATAAAAAAAATACATTTTTAGGCGTCCAAATACAAAATTTTAAACATGAAAAAAATGGCTCGATAATTATCACAAAACTCCCATTTTACAAAATATTTCTAAAGCTTTTGGACTCAAATTTTTCAACACTTTTCATGCCATTTAAACCACATAACAACATTCTAAACCTCAACAAATTTTACCAAAATCGAAGCATTTAAACAACCCGTTTTTTAAAACAAAAGAGGCTCGACTAGGGCGATTTAATTTCCGATTTTCCTCACACTTAAGGGCATTATAAAAACTCGACATTACCATGTACATGAGCATGCTTAGGGGCTGCTAATACTCGGGAAAAACACAGCATGCACAGCCCCCCCTCAATCATCAATATTTCGAAAGAAAATAAAAAGCTCGACTAAGGCGATTAACC